AAGATTTTTGGTTTTTATAAAAAATGTTTCGTTCTCCTCTCCACTCGATGCGGGATCTCACATGCGTAATCAACTAGTTGCTCTCAATGTTTGTTTCTGGTTATGAATGAATTGGGAGAATTGTTCTGGTTGAAGAAGTAACTATGATATACACAATCTGCAGTTCATTGATGTCGGCACCATGGTTTCTCCCACTGTTTATGCACGACGGAGCCTATGTTATCTTCTTTGTGACCAACCCGACGCTGCTCTTCGAGATGCGATGCAAGCCCAATGTGTTTACCCCGATTGGTCGACTTCATTTTACATGCAGGCAGTTGCGCTTGCCAAGCTAGATATGCACAAGGACGCAGCCGACATGTTGAACGAGGCTGCTGCATTAGAAGAGAAACGACAAAAAGGCGGCCGAGGATCTTGAGAATCGACCCGCTGTAAGTGTCGTCCTTCCTGTGTTGTGTTCCTGGTCTGTGGTTTGCTGCTGTTGATAGTTTTTGAAAGAGGAACATAACGTGGAGTTGCACTTAAAATGGAAAGTTACTAAATATGGCCATAAAATCAAATTTGTAAGATAGAAAGGAACTGATGTCTTCTCAATAATTGTGTTATTTTTTTTTTTTCCTTTTAAATTGGGAAATAATTTCTTGGTTCTATTTATGTATAAGCTTAATACAACATATTTTGATTCTTGGGTGTGCATAATTGTGCCACGAAGAAATCGAGCTCGAGCTCGTATTATTATTACTCATGATAGCAACATTATCTTAAGATCAATAGAAAAATGCTCGTTTTGAAGGCAATATACTAATAAGATTGTAATCCATGAATAATTGTGGGCTTTTTTCCTCTTACGTTTTTTAAACGCGTCTATTACATAGAAGTTCTCACAATTTTATAAGAAATACAGAAAGCCTCTCTAATCGATGTGGGATCTCATAGTCCCATCCCTCTTAGGGGCTAGCGTCCTTGTTGGCACACCGCCCCAGTGTTTGGCTTTGATATTATTTGTAATAACCTAAATCCATCGCTAACATATGTTTATCTCTTTGGGCTTCCCTTTAAGGTTTTAAAACACGTGTGTTAGGGAGATGCTTCCACACATTTATATGAAATGTTTCGTTCCTCTTTTTAATTGATGTGAGATTTCATTGAACTGTTGTGGGTAAAATTAAATCCTAAAGAAAAATGGATTACGAAAAGCTCTGAAGAAAGCCAAGGAATTGAACCTCAATTGACTACGCTCTAGTGACTCGAAGCTAGATGCGAAGTCACCATACTCGAGCAGACCATGCCTTAGTGATCTAAGGTCTAAGATCGGGCCCATGAGGTCAACTCTTTATTTAAGTCAAGTTGTCTCGTCTCGATAAACCATGGTTAAAATTGAAATAAGAAGAGGAAAAACTAAGGGTAGAAACTCTCGTGGGTGATCAAATTCGATATAAATGGAAAGAGGAGACTCGTACATGAGCTATGCTATAACTATTCTAATTCTTACTATGCCCACACAATCCCGAATTTGACTTAGACATCACATGTGTTTGGCAAGAAACACACCATTTTGCAAGTATTATTACTCGTCCATATCATAATTCGTTACACCGTGTACGTATAAATGAAAGTTATGTTTATGAAATAATAAATGTATGACCTGTGTCACGGTCATGCTCGTCCAGGGCGTGTTGCCCATGGCCGCATGCCTATGGCAAGCCAAACCCTTGTCATGTCTTTTCATTCTAGTGTTTTTACTTTTGTAGTTCTAGGGCGTATGACGCCTCAAAAATATCATGTCTAGGCCTGCCAGACATGAAATGCCTCAAAATGTACTATAGGGGGATATGACTAGTTGTCAACTTCTCCCTACCCAAGGTTATATATGCTAAGCCGTTGTTATCTCTCTCTTGCTTGCTTATATAACGTCTCTTTCAAAAATCTCTCTTTCTAAAATCTCTCTCTACCCTCGTTTTCCAAAACCTTCTTTTAAAACCGAGGCTAGAGGCTTGATCATACATCGCTTGGCCGTAGGCGACACAAGTACAAATTGGCTTAGCTCACTTGTCGTTTGAAAGTGAGTGCCGCACAATCGCTAGTCCGCTGCCTTTAAAAGTGCGATTGTGTCAACCTGCACCATATGTTTATGTCATGATTTAAAGCTATGTGGATCTTTTTTTTTTCTTTTCACATGCATTAGGATACTTCCCCGTTACAACAAGTACGTCATGTTATTATGCAGACTCCTTTTTCTTCACGGCTCCGACAACATGAGCCTACGTGAGCTAAAGGGAAAACCCACGCTTACCCGGTGGGTCTGTGTGCGCATACATGACCTATGTGTAAAGAAGTACTACACATCCAATTTTAGCTCAAACTGAAAAGTAGAGTTGAAGTCATGAAATGTTTTTATGAAAGAATAGGTCCCTCTATGATTACTTGTGTATGCATTTTCCGACCCAATAGTAAAGTTACTTACTGAGTATTTTTTAAAATACTCAAGTCACATGCTACTTTTATTTTTCAACTAAGGCACCCCTGTACGAACTACGACATCACAATGACGACCATAGGACCAAAACTAGGGCAATACATTCACGCCATTTTTCTTTCATAGCCCTTAGGTTAGATTTGGGCAAATACTTCAATTTCTTAATTTTATTTAAATTCGTGTTATTTATTTTCCGCCACATTATCTTTCATGACTTTTTTTATGAACGTGTAGGTTCACGGCCTCGTTATAGATATGTTATGCATGTAGTGTCCACTGTCATGCCTCATTTATGTCCCGTCATTTTCTCATTTATCTTTATTTTAAAAAAATATCTCTTAATTTTTCTAAACTTTGGAATAGTCTTTTTTAAGTTTATTTAATGATATTATTTAGGAACATCAATAATCTCTTAATTACTTGCTTACTATTATATTTATAGGTAACTTTAATAACAAAACGACACAATTTAAAAAAGCACCCCTAAATCAAAGCCACACATTTAGGTGCCTTCAATATAAATATTTTAAAATATGGGACCATAAGATTAAATGACTAATAATTTTTCTTTCCCCATATTGGTATCATAAAAATAGGAACAAAATGTTGGGTGTTTTCGTAAATATCAATAATAGGAGCCTAAATATTGAGAAATTATTTTGATAGATTATTATTATTTCAATTGACGATCATAGACAATTGACTTGAAAAACGGATCAGATTGAGTTGGGTTAGGTTCAAATATATGAAAATTTTATGAGATGAGTTGGTTCGTGGGTTCTCCTAAAATTAGTTTGAACAGGGTTGGATATGAAATACTTCTCTACACACGGCTCACGCACATGCACATGGGCTCACCAAGCGGGCTCACATACCCCTTGGACCTAGCTCATTTGGTTACCACTCACTAATTGGCTGCCAGACACTAAGAAGGAAAAGGGTCCACATAACATTATGGTGAACATAAATGTCGTAAGTTGTAAGTTGTAAGTTGTAAGGTACGCGTCCATACTTATCATAATGAGAAAGTATCCCGATGCATATGACATACAAAAATGTATGAGGTCCTATTCCGTAGCTTAAAATCATGTTATAAATTTATGATGCAAGTCAAATCTCCATTCTTCAATAGTATTAGAATTAAGTATACATAATTCGGGTCAAATCTTTCATACAAAACATAGCTTGTATGACATGGTCTATGGAGGTTTATGCATCATAGATTATCGTTATTATAACATATCTCTATAGCATAACTTACAAACATGACATAACTTAACATATCATATCATGACATAACATAGAACAACATAGGATAAAAATCATAATTATGACCGGTTCAAAAGCCATGGAAGACACTTCATCATACATAACACAATTAATTCGACCAAGCCAACTGGAGAGCTACTTAAATGGTTAGCCTAAGTGGAGTCACTAAAGGTTCTTCGAGCTGGCTCGAATATGTTCCTCAACATTTGATTCGACCGATGTTAATCCACGTCATCAAATTAGAATAAACTAACGAGCTTAGCTTATCTAAAGGTATCAAATAATCAAATTTTCTAGCTCAAAATAGTTCAAATTGAGCAACCATGGGTCATACTAATCTCAAATGCCTCCGATAATGTCAAAGATAGCTCTGGAAGGTCAAAAATGTAGGAAACGACATGAGGGATGACTCAATTCGAGCCACACGTGAGGTGCTAACGAGTTGAGATCCAAGTGACGAGAGGCAACGTGTTGAATTATCCCATGAGTTGCAATGTTCTCCCTCTTGATATACGTAGATTTTAGAGTTAAATGAGAGGGATTTGAAGGGAAATACATGAGATCAGTTATGGTTGCGAGATCTCCAGCATGTTAGATTTACGAATCTCTACAATGGTATGATATTGTTTACTTTGAGCATAAGCTTTCATGACTTTGCTTTGGACTTCTTACAAGGTCTCATACCAATGAAAATGTATTTTTCTACAGTTTTTTAAAAATAAAAACTCGACTGTCGTTACAAACTAATCTAACCCAACTATTTTACGAATGAGTTGGGTTAGATTCATTATTGAATAAGAGTCGCTCAATTGAAAAATTTACAACCCGAACAATTGAATTGACTTTAAAAAATATTTTATTACGACCCGACTCAATTCACGAACACCCGATACTTATATTTATGGTATTTTAAATTTCTTGATCTCATAAGGATCCAAATTAGATACTTCCACCCATCTATCTCTCTAAATGTGGATAATAAGGCAAGGCCATATCTTTCTCTACGTGTATGTTAACATCACCTTAGGTTGTACAGAAGATATGGGCCTTTTGGATTCCCCATCCGTACAACCCTTACGTCATTGTCCCCACACGCCCATAACAATATATTTTTTTTAATTAAAAAAATTCTCAACACAGTAATATATATTTCAAATTAAATATATTATTTCTTCTCTTATTTTTACAAATTAAAAAAAAAAAAAGAAAAAAAAGAAAAGAAAACTCTAGAAAGACAGATATGTTCTTGTTTTTTTTTCACCGGTAGAATTCTGTCTGCAAACTGACGTTCAGCTCCATCTGTTCATCTTCCCATTTGACCTTTGCCATGACGCCGTCATGATCGGGCACGTATTCCTATAGTTCAACCGTATTAAATCACTACTAAACTTTGACGTAATTGAAAGATAAAAAAGATAATTTAGAAGTTCAAACGAACAAATGAACCTCGAGCTTTTGAACAAGCTCCTTAGCGTTAGGGGCAGAGACGATGATACTACGTTGAGATGGCATGATAAAGCCGTCATCCACAGCCTTGTCGATGAAGGAGAGAAGCGAGTTGTAATAACCATGAACGTTAAGCAAACCCACCTATATCATACAACAACCTCTTTTCAATAATCTACTTGCTTAAATAAAATGTCCCATGTTCAAGAATTCGAATTCGATATCTAATGGCTCTAGACCTCCACGACAAAATCATGTTACTTACTTTTTTATATTTGAAATTCCTATGATTGAACCATCAAAGAAGAAAGTGTATTTTGTTAGTAAAAATAGTAACTTTTGTTAGTTATCTTATTCTCGGGATTGTACTGATTCAAATGTGGTATTGATTCATTCATGTACTCTTCTTTACTCGAGTGTCGCTATAAAACCGTTTTAGATAGGATCTTACCGGTTTGTCGTGGATACCGAGCTGGGCCCACGTTATGACTTCGAGGAGCTCTTCCAATGTTCCATATCCACCTGTTGGTTAACATGATTAGTTTAGTTTAAGCTAAAAATGTTTTGTTTAGATAAGAGAGAAAGAGACCTGGGAGGGCAATGAAACAGTCAGAGTGGCGGGCCATCTCCGCTTTCCTTTGATGCATGTCGGCAACTGGTCGGACCTCCCCAACTGTTTCCCCAGTAATCTGCTACACCATACACATAATCAACATTATGGATTTTTAATCCTAAGTTTTTATATTTCTTAAACTTTGTCTTAAAACATGTTATGTCGGATGATATTTGTAACATTCAAATTCAAAACTTTATCTTTGTTTTTAGTTATATTTGCACGATAATCGAGATTTCGTACCTCTTTACGCATCAATGTTTTCGGGATTATTCTGTCAAATAATTAATAACCCATCAAATATCAAATAAATTTCGGTCCAATTTTTAACTCGAAAAATATTAATTTTACCCTATCACATGTCCACCTCCGTTGTGAACCTCTTGAGAGACAAGTCCCATTAAGCCAATACTTCCTCCACCATAAACAAGGTCTAATCTCCTTGAGACCTAAGACAAAGAATAGAATTCAACAAAATGAAAAAAAAAAAAAAAAAAAAAAA